GTGTAAGAATCTCCAGTCCAGGCTCTTGGACAGCACTAAGACCAAGTATGGAGCACCCCCATGGACTCTAATCTCAAAGAACTCCAGTTACTGCACAAGGTGAGTAACTTCGCTTCCCCAGGATAGATTACCAGGGTTGTCAGACTTCTTTTTAGCATGGGCCACATCTGACCAGAGAGATTATTGCATGGACATCTCTCTGATTCATGGACACATAACATTCTTTGTCAGCAACAGCAATTGTTTAACAAAGTGTAGCATCTTGAAACAAGGAGATCCTTGCATCATATTGCCTGCTAGTATTTATGGATCACCACCAAAGTGCCCTTGTAGAACACAGGGTGGGAACCCCTAGCAGTGTACAGCATACTGTGCATTATAACAGAAACCAGGGAGCTTTAGTTCAAAATTAGCTTGTCTTGTATGTTTGTGTTGCAGATTTAATACTACTTTAATATAGTTTTCACCATTTTAAGTTTGTATCTCCTCTGGATATGCTACAGATTTATAAGGAAAACTTTATTTTAGGGGTAAATGTTACCTAGAAATTAATAGGTATAGTCTTTTTTTCTCAGAGGTTTATATGCACAGAAAACTTTGTAATAGTCAAAGTTTTCACTAGAAATTTGTCACTGGGATCAGTTTTGTTTTGTGTAGATGAATTTAACTTCTTAAATTAAGGAAACATGAGCATACCAGGTAAAAATCATAAGGTTGCAAACTCAATTCTTAATACACTTCTAAATCAAGCCATAGCATATTGGATTTGTCAAATAAGTTTATGGAGACTAAAAATGGCCCAATGGAACACGTTAACTCATTAAAAAAAAAGGAAATGTAGAAGTTATGTAATCTTCTTTTAGATTACTTAAAACTAAATGAGATTTTAATCTGTACTGTACATACCAGATAACCAGGATAAATGGAACAATTGGCACACTTGTAACTTAAAACATACTTTTGTTTGTTTTTCAGGTTTGCGATATTCAGACGCACAGCGGATTGCCAGCTTCTGGTCTATGTGTTGGCCCTCTATGCACTATGCCGGGGACCTCATATCCACCAAAGAACTACACTGGAGCTGGCCTTTAGGGGTAAGGTAATGTTCCACCACCACCTCGTTTTTAGTATATTACAATACAGTGTTGCATAGTTTGCTAAAATATTTTAAATATATATTTCCTATATTGTACCACACGGTATATAAAGTAACCACTAAACTTTAGAAAACTTTGCAAAATTGTAAAAGAATGGGACTTATATTGTCCTGATTTCATCCCTATAAGTTTCTTTGGTGGGTGTGATATCACCAGCATGGTTCATGCTGAGGTATCTCATGAATTGGGAGCTGGCAATCCACAGTGAATCTGGACATCACACACCTGAAAACAACTTAAAAAGGTAAGATTTAAGTTATAAGTGTGCTGAATGGTCCTCTTGTGATTATCTTAGGAAGATTCAGCATATGTTTCTAAAGCAGCCTTTTTTTTTTTCTTTCTTTTTAAATGAGGAAGAAGCATTATCTTAAGCTGTGATGTCCAACACGCTAGCCATGAGCCACATGTGACTATTTGGCCAGTTGAGTGTGGCTAGTTCCTAAGTGGTTGAACCCCATGAATCTAAAGTTTATATTGAAGAGCTCCAAGCCAAGAGACTTGTGTGTTTTGTTTACTGCTATTTTATCATACTTTGCAGTGTAGAAACTTTTATTCCTGACTTAAAACAAGTAGTTTAAAAAATGTAAATTTAGTACTTCTAAACACACTGGATTAGTTTCTCATGCAACTGGAATCCTCTGAAGACATCCATACAGTATTTTGGGTGGGTGTTGTTCAAGTAATCATCTGGTCATTGGCCATCATTCAGAGAGGAAACCTCTGGGAATTAGAAATTTAGTTCTGGGTCAATCTCTCTAATAAGACTGTGAACAAAAATTAAGTAGTGCTATTGATTTTTTTTTCCCCTTTGAAAGACCAAAATTATTTGAGATTGCCAAACTTATTTCATATCAATTAGTGAAGTAGGTGGCAGAACTTATAGTTAATTTTTAATTGCTTCTGATGTTGAGCTAGATATGTTGTATCATTTGAGAAGTGAAAACAACTATCTTCCATGACCATTCCCTCAAACCATCCAGTTTTTCTAAATGTATCTGTTATGTTGCAGATTTATTTCAGGAGTTGACAAATTTTCTTATATTCAGTTTAAATATTTTGAGTACATTTCAACTTCACTTATTAAAAGAGAAGCAATTTGATTTTCAGAGAGTCTAGGGTATATATGGTTTAGGGCAAATTCTTATTGATTTCAATTTCTGCTGAATGTGCTTTCAGAAACAGGCTGAGGATATCTGTTGGTTTAGAAATACTTTTAATATATTAGTTATTGCAATAATGTTGCCTGCCAGAGCAGGGATTTAGAATTTTTAACAGATATAGTTTAAAACAAGTTGTATATTAAGTGATAAGATAAAATATATGCCAGTATGCATTATATGAAAGTTTCATTTTTTTTCCTTGCTGAATATATTTATTTTAAAATATTTTACAATCAAGTATTTTTAAAATATTTTTAACTAAGTTTTGTTTCATTGGCACTACACCTTGATAAAGCAAAAAAGCAATCGGCATTGATCACACTATATTCTTTTAACTATATAATATTTGGTCACTTTCATCACGCTATATGTAGAATATTTTGGAACTATTTAATAATTGACTATTTCATTGTTCCTGATAGGAGGAGAAGGAAGAGGCTTCTACTTTTGAACAACCTTTAAAGTATTGACGTGTTCATTTGTCCCATTTAAATTGTGTGTAAAATCTGTAAATTAAAAAAAAAACAACAAAACAAAAACATAAAACTGGATGATTCTTAAAGACTTCATCTTGAAATCACATTTACCTCAAAATTCCCCATCTAATATAGTTACAAGTGGCTCCTTACATTAATGTAAATTCATTTTTATACTTTTGTTTTATTTTGTATATTTAACAGCTCTTTCTTTAGTAAATTTCCTTCTTTTCCTGTACAGCCAGTTTCTTATATATGTTGAGCTTCTCTAGTCCGGCACGCTCTGGACCAGCAACATCCATGGTCCAGCATGATTTTAGTTAGCCGGATGTTCACTTATCATAGGCGTGGCCAAGTTTTCTGTGGTCGTATAAAGTTTGTTTACAAACAACATTGATTGTAGCTCTCTTCCTTCCTTTCCTTTAAAAGGCATATGGATGATTAGATTTAGTTTTATCTCTGGAAACACCATTCTGATGACATTAGCATGTTCCAATAGTACTCGCTATATCAGCTTAATATATGATATTAATGTTAACTGATCAACTTGTTAATCAAAGGTATTTGTAAATTCCTTTCTAGTTTTTTCTGGTTTTGGTATTCATTTCCTTCTTACATTGGACATGTTGGGTGGGAAGCAGTGAATGTTATACAATACATTTATTCAGAACATTTTTAACAAATAAAGGCTTGATCTTGATCCTGCTCCTACTGATTTCAAAATAAAGCAAAGTCAGCCATAAATTCTTTAAATTAAATGAAAAACAACTCTGAAATGTTTAAGCTCATCCAGAAGATGAAAAACTTAAAATTACTTTCAGTGATCCAAGTTTTCTTCACAAACTCCTTTACAGTTTACAGCTCAGTGTTTTTTTTTAATTGAAATATGCAAAAGATTATATAATAGCTTCCTATTCTTTCATAATTTCTTTTTTAAATCTTTATTAAGTTACAGAAATTTAATTTTGCAATAGTATACATTAGTATTTGTTGATTTTTAATGTTAATAAATTAGCTGCTTTATGTCTATTTAGTTCTGTTTTCAGTAGCTCCAGTATTGTTCTGACTCATTCAAAGACTTCTGAGATTCACAAGTTTCATCTGTGACACCAAAAAAACCTGCTGCAGTTGAGTAGGTATCATTAAAATGACTTTCAGAGTAGATTGTGCCAAATCATAAAGAAATAACCCACTGTCATCTCTAAAAAAAATCAATCTTTGTATGTCTAATATAATATAAATATTTTTAAACCAGGGGAATGAATTATACAGCTTACTTTAAAGTATGGAATTCATTCCTCATTTGGGGGCGTCAGTGGGTATTCAGTATTGCATTAATCTTATGCTGCCCATGTGTAAAGGAAGTAGATAGTGTTCTTGTAAGTACATGAGTAATAAGAATGCTTGCTGTTGTGTGCTTTTCTGATCAGGTATTTTCAAAGTCCCTTGCTATGAAATCAGCCCTATATATGTGAACATTTACTTGATCAAAACAGCTCTGCTTTTCCACTTAGTAGTAGCTTGAGTGTAATTATGTGATGGCATTGATAAAAATAATTTTTGAGTAAGATTGAGTAGTAGGTGACTTAGTCCTTTAGTTAAAGACATGAGAGTAGGTCAACTGCAGATAATTAGAAATAAAACCAAATATTACTATCTCAAATAGCAAGAGACAAAATCTTACAAGGATAGTAATTGACCCCAAAAGCTCAGCCAGACTGAAACACATTTGATAACAACAACAGCTGCTGGTTATTTGTAATAGATATTTTGGGCAGTAGAACATTTAGAAAATCTCAGAAGAATTAAAATATCAGGTTCTGGATTTGTTTGTTTTTAAAATTTATATTAGATAGTCTTACGTTTTACTTTTTGGTCCACTTATGCTTTGATCCACTAGGCTTACTAGTTTAATATAGAATAACTATCCATGTACTTTTTAATGATTTAATCAGGCTGCTTCCTGTGTGATTTATTTTACAATCATGTTTTATTCTTCATTTACTAAGTTCTGATCAAGAGTACTGGACTTTACTAATGTAGACTAAGATATAAAAGGAAAAAGAACCATCTATAGAACTGCTTTTATAATAGCAGTTCGACTGGATTTTACATATTGAATATGTGAGGAAAACTTGCTAGAGATCACTTCTTGAATCCTAACAAAATTTGTATGTGAACCTCTCTCTCCTTTTTTATTTTTACAGTGGATGATGTTGGAGAAAAATTAGATCATATTGGAAGCACACCTTTAAAAATCAGCTCTGAGGTTTCACATGATGATGTTTCTAAAGATGATGGGTTTGGTTCAGAAGTTATAAAAGTGTATATATTTAAAGCTGAAGCTGAGGATGATGTGGAAATAGGTAAGTTTTTATGTTCTGTTCATTGATTCTCTAGTTAGAAAACTTTTGCTAGTTTTGTGTTTAATAAAATCCCCCCCAAGTGGCATGTTTTGCAGTATGTGAAGTAACATTTTTGAAATGGCTTGTTGGGGTGTCATGACAACCCAATTTAACTCTTCCTTGAAGAAGGAATAATGTCAAGTCTCTTTTTTTTTGCCAACACAGTATTGAAAACATGGCATAAAACAGAAGCTTTAGAACAGAGGTGGGCAATAATTTTTGACGGGGGCCCACTCCAAGAAGTTGATAAGTGGTTGAGGGCTACATTCTTCCATTATGTTTAATGGATGGAGTGCGGGGTCTGGAATAGAAGTCGGGTGCAGTAGGTAGCTTGGGGTAAGGGATTGGGGTGTGAGATCTGGGAGGGAGTTTGGGTGAAGGAAGGGGTTGTGACATGGGGCAGAGGACTGGGGTGCAGGGTCTGGGAAAGGATTATGATCTGGAGTAAGGATGCAGGAGTTTTGATTTTGACCTGGCACAGGGGATTGAGGTGCAAGGTCTGGGAGGGAGTATTGGGTGCAAGAGAGGATTCTGGCCTGAGGGAGGAGTGTAGGAGGATGGAGTGCAGGATCAGGGAGGAGGGCTGTAACCTGGGGCAGGAGTGCTGGGTGTGTGTGAGTGCAGGGATTTGGGTTGTGACAGCAGATTGAGGTTCAAGTCTGGGAGGCGCTTGTGACCTGAGGAGGGCTTTAGGTGCAGAAGGTTTGGGTTACATGGGATAGGGGTTCCTAAGGGTGGACAGAGGATTTGGGAGGGACTCTTGTGCATTTCAAAGGCTGAAGCACTGCAGGGAGCATGGGACAAGCTGGGACTCAAGCACTGTTCCCGCTTTAGCCTTTGAAATGTACAAGAGTCCCGTGGGGCTTGAGTCCGCACTGGTCCCCTGCTCCCTGTGATGCCCCCATGCCTTGCTGCGTCTTTAAGAGGCAGCAAGCAGGGTGGAACAGGAGCCGGTGCTTCTATCAGAGGCAGCGGGGGAGGATAGCGGAGTCTGCTGGGGCCCCCCGCGGACAGGGGCTGCTGCCACCAAGCAGCCCGTGTTTGCGGTGGACAGGGCTGTCTGCTGGGAACAGGGGCTGCTGGACTCAGTGTAAGCTGGGGCCCAGCAGTCCCAGCTCGCACTGATTGCTGCACCTCTGCATTTTAAATGTAGTAAGAGACTGGCAGCTCTTATTATATTTAAAGTGCAGAGCTGTTGCGCAGATGGCTCCCAGGGCTGGCACGAGCCAGGACTTCTCAGTCTCAGCTCGAGCCGGCTCCTGGAGCTACCCCTACTGTGGCTCTGCAGAGCTGTCCTATCAACTAATCGTATAGTCGATAAAAATTGTATCAACTATACGATTAGCTTGATAACTGCATTTTAACATCCTTAGTGCAGGGCCTATGTTTGCTGCTCTGAATTGAATGCTGTGAGCCCCGGGGATGAGAGAGGAAGGCATTACACATGATGCGTGTTCTGTAAACCAGCAGCTGCTATTGGCCAGTAAACAGCAAGTGGGAGCTACTGGAGGTGGGGACACTGTGAGAAGCCTTTCACCCCTCTTCCCTGGGCTCTCAGCATTCAGTGACACACATGGCCCTGCAATTGACTTGTATCATGATGTGATGTATAATATTTCTGCTCATACTTAAAACACTACTAGCGTACAAAAACTGACAAGGTTTATGCCTATAATCAGGGCTTGACAAATAATGCAATCTACTTGCCCGTGGCGAGCAGATTGCAACCCGGAAGATTGCAACCCCCCTCCACCAGCATGCGCAGATCACTGCACAGTGAGGCTGGCGAGCGGGGCTTGCCGCAGTTCGGCGAGCGCTGCCTATAATACCACCCAAATGTTCAGCACTGATTTTTTTCTCAAGATATTGGTAAGAAAGGAGAGTTGTATAGTGTGCCACTTATGGCAAGAACACACTGATTTTAGACATTTAATTGGGATCTTAATGTCTGTCTAGAACAGAAAATACTGACATTCTTCTAATTTGGTTCTCATGAGATGATATTATAGATCATCTTGGTTGCATAGACTGTGTTTTTCTTTCTCAAGGAGGAACAGAAATTGTCACAGAGAGTGACTTTCACAATGGACATTCTGTTGCTGGCGTAATTGAGCAGGGAGGTGTTGGCAGAATGCAGCGAGAGAAGATGGTTTACATGGCTGTTAAGGACTCTTCTCAGGAAGATGAAGATATTAGTAAGAATTTTAACTAATATATATACTAAAAATGCTTACCAGAAAATTACTCAGTCCCAAAACATTATAAGTATATATTTTTTAAAATGGTACCAGAAATTAAAACAGTATGCATAATAGGAATGTTAAGTAACATGTTTTTGTGTAAATATGTAACCTCTTGAATTTTAGTAGTTACATGTAGCAGGGGGGTAGGCAGGAGCTAGTGCTTGTGGGGAGCTGACTTTTAAGCCGGCTCTTGGCAAACACTGGCTCTCACCTCCCCCTGCTGCCTCTGGCAGAAGCACGGAGGACAGGCGGCTCCATAGGAATCGACATGGACAGGGAGCTGGCTTGAAAGCCAGCTCCTTGCATGTGCCAGCTCCCACCTGCCCTTACCTCCAGTGTCAGCAATGTAGGGCAAGGGGTGCAGGTGGCTCCATGGCTCCAAGCCCTGGCTTCCATCTTTCCTCTTCCGCTGTCTCTGTGGGAGGCAGCAAGGTGGGGGCAGGTGGCTCCGCAGAGCCAATCTGCTCAGCTCCTCGCATGTGCCAGCTCCAGTGGAGCTGGCTGCCACCTTCCCCTTCTCTCTCCCACAGAGACAGCAGTGCGGGAGGCTGGCAGGCAGGAGCTGGTGATTAGAGGGAGAGAACTGGCTTTAAAAACTGGCTCCCCAGGAGCACCGGATCCCATTGAGCCGCCTGCCTTTCCTCCCTCCACCACTGCTGCCTCTCTATCTGAGAGCGCAAGCGGGGCAGAGTGGGAGCTGATACACATGGGGAACCAGCTCTTGTGGATTGGCTTCTACCTAACCTAGCCTCCCTGCGCACTACTACCTCCATGGGATTCGGTGCTCCTGGAGAGCTGGCTTTTAAGCCGGCTTCCCCCCTCCACCAGCTCCTGCCTCCTGTCCCCCTCCCCCCCATATCACAGGCGTGCAGCTCTGTGATACAGGGGCATCAAGGGGGTGGGGGTGTATATGTAGTTGCTAGGATTAACAGATAAGCCCAGGCTTATCGGTTAATCATTGAGTACACACTAACATCCCTAATGTATAATATTGTTCACTCTTTAAACGGACATTTTTAATGTTTCTGAATGATGGTTCTCAGATTTAAAATAGTAAAAATCCCATCTTTCCTTTCCCACCAATAGAGTATCTTATAGACTGTATGAAGTATATGTATATTAAATACATATTGTGGCTACTTTATACAAGCAATTCATTATTTGCATTGAATTCTATAGTTAATGAATGAATGAATAAATAGTGGATTTTTGCAACTTTCTGATTTTTCAGCTTGACTAACAAACTGCCTTGCTAAAATCTTGTTTACTTCGTTTAAATGGTTTTATTGTTTAGAATGTTAATGCTATTCTAGATAACTTTTTAAATTTTATTCAGTAGAGCAGTGCTTATTCTGGAATAGTAGAAAGAACCACTCTCTTTCTCTTTCTCTTTGGTTTTTCTAATTCTGGTCTAGTATAACGTAATATTACCCTGTACAAGTATATTGGGGAAGGAAAAGAATGGTTCAGTGGGTATTACTACTAATCAAAATAATATGAAAATAAACAAAGGAAAATTTAGGCTGAACATACAGTACAATTAATTGAAGAATCACCACCTTTCCTTCACAAATGTAGGTTGTGCTGAAATAGCAGATGAAGTTTATATGGAGGTCATAGTAGGTGAAGAGGAAGCAACATCACTTCCTGACACACAACTTGAAGACTCTGGTGTGAATAAAACTTTTGTTCCTGTTGCTTGGGCTGCTGCTTATGGTAGGATGCTAGATTTTTTTTCCCCCCCGGGAATCCCCTCTTATTTTCCCCCAAACTTAGCTCCTACATCTTTTAGGACGTGATTTCCTATCTCTCTGCTCTGTGCAAGGAAGTTTATTAACAGCTGCCTCTGGAGCCTGCCATTGATTTACAAGAGTCAGACACTGGAATCACTCAGTGATATTTCAGCAGCTGTACATACTTTTCCCAGAATGCCCTCACTCTGCTAATTGAGGAATGAAGACGAATGCTAGTCCCAGATTCTAACATTTTGTACACTAACCTACCAGGTGGTCCTTAAATTATTTTAATATCTATTTTTCTTAACTCATAATATAAGTATCTTGTTTAGTGTTGGGTTTTATACAAGGCATAGTAGTTTGTAAAGTTTTTGTACTGTTGTCCTGGGTTCCAGTTCCGGTATTATCCAGCATACAAATTTTCTGTGTATGTCTTGAAGTCAGCTACAAAGCATTATAGAATCTTACTTAAGCTAAAGGAATTTTATTTAAAGTACATGAAGCTGGATGGTGAAAGGTTCACACAAGTTTTATCTGAGAAAAGGAAAATGAGTCTGAGAAAATAAGCTTAGAATTTGTCATACAGACATCTTCTTTTCTCGCTTTTTCGCTATGTCTGCACTAGAGAGTTTGCAGTGGCACCACTGTAAGATCTCTAGCATATCTACTCTATGCCAAGAGAAGAGAACTCTCCTATTAACATAATTAATCAGCTGCCAACAAGGAGTGGCGGCTGTGTCTGCAGAAGACACTGCCCAACTAACATAGTACTCTCCACACTGTTGCTTATGTTGGTGTGACCAGTGTCGCTCAAGGGCGTGGTTTATTCATACTGCTGAGCGACATAAGTTATGTTGACATAAGCAATGGTTGTAGACATAGCCCTTAGTCTGCATAATCAGAGTCTTCATCCTCTGGCAGAAAACGATTGTGACTTTTTTAAGAATGTGTTTTATATGTCTTACGAAGTTGATCTTCATCTTTCCCTTTAACTGGAATTGAATAGCAGGAACATTTTACTAGGAAGTTAAATGGTGCAAATTCTGTGTGTGTGTGTGTGTACGTTAGTTAATTCATAAATATATCATATTTAAGGGAATAACCTCTCAGATCATCTGAGTCATGAAAGAGAGAGCCAGTTTTTTAAGGACAGAGTTCTAACTGGGATTGGCTGAAAAATGGGGAAACCCTTCAGTTGAAAAACTTTGCAATTCTGATTTTTTTTTTTCTATCCTGAATCAGGATGAAGAGTCAAAAATGCTAAAAACAAATTTAAAAAATTGTGAGATGGGATTTTTAGAAAAATTCCCATACTGAAAGAACAATAGTTTAAATTTTCCTGCTTGTTAGCAACTTGCTGGGAAAACTCTTATTAATTTAACATTATCTCTGCATGCACAAAATGAAATAGGTGAGAATTCCACACAGGCAGCCAAAAAGAACCATCCTTCTAATTTTTCCAGATGAAATTTTTCTGCAAAAAAAATCTGTGTTGTGAAAAGGGCATTTCTATCAGGAAATAACCTGACAGAAAAGTCCTGTACAGATATACTTATAACCCCATTAGTTGCAGATATATATGCGTTTGAACCACAGAATACCAGAAGCATAGAAAAAACTTTTTTCAGTCTAGAATGAAAATATTAGGATACTATTACGATGCAGCCCTTGTCATCCCATAGATTTAGTCATTTGTCGTGCAAGTGCTGAATGACCACTGTATTATGACATGGTAAAGTAATAAAGCACTAAGTCAGGTCTGGGGAAAATACCCTCCGTGGGCCAGATCCGGCCTGCCAAGCCACCAGATCTAGTCCATGGACCCAGCAGGGAGCCTAAGGCAGACTCCCTGCTTGCCATAGCCCCTGCACGCTGCTCTGAAAAGTGGCTGCCCAGCCTATTGTGTTTCTCAGCTGTAAGCCAGAGGGAGCAGGGAAAGGCTGGTCCCGCTCCAACACAATCCCACTGGCCAGTTTTTGGCCACCACTTTCCCCTCCCCTTGGGTTCTTATTTACAGATGCACATGGCCCCAGCAGCCTCTGCAGAGGTGTGACAGGCAGGGAAGCTGCCTAAGAAATGTGCTCTCTTGGCCAGACCCTGCCTCTTCCCCCAGCCCTTTACCCCTCCTTCCACTCCTATCCCCAAACTACCACATAACCCAAATCCTCTGCCCCCCTCCTGAGCCCATACCCCCTCCCAAACCCTGTACCTCTGCCCTAGGTGACAACCCCCTTCTGCCCTAGGTCACAACCCAGATTCCTGCACCAAAACCCCCTTCTGCCCTAGGTCACAACCCAAGCCCTACACCCCCGTCCCCTGGCCTAGGTGACAAATCTCTCTCCCCTCCTGCGCCCCCCCACCCCTCCCCGGCTCTAGGTCATATCAATCCCATGCCCCAGGTCACAACTTCATCCGTCACCCAAACTCCTCCCAGAACTCACAGGTATTCCTGCATCCCAATCCCTTACCCCAAACTTCTTTCTTCACCCAATCTCCATCTCAGGACTTCGACCACTTTCCAAAATCTTAGCATGGCCCCCCAACAAAAATTTTTGTCCACCCCGGCACTAAGTTCTTGACAGGAAAGTTAGATATTTGGACTTGCTGATAGGCAAAAGAAAATTGTTGAACTTGGTTATTTTGCACTATGTCTTGTTTACCAGAATCAATGAAAGCAAATATGTAGAGATTATATAGTACAATATATTCATTGTCTGGTTTGGCATCTCTGTAGAGAGTGGTCAGGAAAGTGAGGACTCTTCAGTAAATAGTTTACTAGCTAGATGTTTTCTCACACATGGAATTTCAAACCATCATTTGTCAAATACAATTTCTGTTTATGAATTAGGAAAATATTGTTTTCCGTAGGAGATGAAAGGAGGCTGCCCAGAAGATATGAAGACTGTCAAACAGCAGGTGAGAACATGGACTTACATTTGATACAAGAGCAAAAGTTACATTTGCTTTTATAATTTTTTGGGAGGTAAAAAGTTGTATATCAGATTTTCCCCTAAGAAGTTCATGACTGTCTGGTTCATTTAATGGAATATTAACAAATTCTTGATCTGTGAATGCTACCAAATATTCAGATGGCATTGTGAAAGGGTTCCATGCTCCTGAAACACATTTGCTCAAGGTATTTCAGTTTATAAACATTGTAGAAATAAGAATAATACTAAATGCAACAGAGGTGCTCAGAATTGTCCATTAGTAGCTTTTGGGTGACTAGGAAAAGGAAAATAAGGCTACTGAGGTATAAAGGACAATTAGGTTGAAGGAAAGAACAGGCATAATCAGCTAAATGTGAAGAGTTTGGGAGTGGAGGAAACAAAAATCCAGAATGAATCTAAATTGATAGCAATTCTTGTCAATAACTATTGTAAATATTAAACCTTTCTACAATGAACAATTGTTTTGAAGGCAATGTAAAGTGACTTTGCTCCCCTGTGATTCTGGTCATCTAGTCCCAAAGAAAAAAATTTGCTCATAGTTTTTATGGTGTCTGATCTTTGTATTCAGGAAATAACTTGGATACACGATTAGAAAACAAAAATGGTAATGCAGCACAGTACCTGCAAATCTGTGATAGCATTAACACAAATAGAGCGCTTAAACAAAAAGCCAAGAAGAGGAGGAGGGGAGAAACCAGGCAGTGGCAAACAGGTAGAATATTTTTCATTGTTTATTGTATTGGTTTACTATGGAAAGATCCTTTTCCTGGAAACTATTTTAAAAATTTAAACCTGCACTGGAATTATATTGTGCAGCTGTTTTAAAACAGTTGTCCCTGAAGAGTTTGCTGATGATCCACAGATTGCTGATTGGCACATCATGCTGACTCACTTAATTTCCAGCTGGAAAATTGCATTACATTTTTTTCTAATATTACTTATCCACATAAACAATTCCTGTAGTTATCGTGGGGTTGTTATGTGATCATAAATGGGAGAGGAGATGTACACAATTGAGAATGGGAGGAAGGTCCATTATTTTTGGTCTATTTAGTAACAAGTACCACCAGTGCCCATGGATTAAGGTAGTATTGTGATTTTATTATTTGCTTCTGTCAGTTTTTTTAATAGTATTTAAAATTGTAGATATCTGGGATTTGGCTGTGTTAAGTTAGTAAGCTTATTTGTTCTATATGTGAAGTTTGAGTAAATGTTTTTAGTAGTTCTTTTTAATTCAGTATTTTCAGAAGTTTTCTTTATAACTTTCTCTGTTTGTTTGAAAACAGCTGTTATAATAGGTCCCGATGGTCAGCCCTTAACTGTTTACCCTTGTCACATATGTGGGAAAAAATTTAAATCCAGAGGATTTCTGAAGAGGCATATGAAGAACCACCCAGATCATATGATTAAGAAGAAATACCAGTGTACTGACTGTGACTTTACAACTAACAAAAAAGTAAGTTTTCACAACCATCTGGAAAGCCATAAACTTATAAACAAAGTTGACAAAACTCATGAGTTTACAGAATATACAAGGAGATATAGAGAGGCAAGCCCATTAAGTTCTAATAAGCTGATACTGAGGGACAAGGAGCCTAAACTACACAAGTGCAAATACTGTGATTATGAGACTGCAGAACAGGGACTGCTCAATAGACATCTGCTTGCAGTTCACAGCAAGAACTTTCCCCATGTTTGTGTTGAGTGTGGAAAAGGATTCCGTCATCCATCTGAGCTTAAAAAGCATATGAGGACCCACACAGGTGAAAAGCCATACCAGTGTCAGCACTGTGTCTTCAGATGTGCTGATCAGTCCAATCTGAAAACACACATAAAAACCAAACATGCAACTGATTTACCTTTTAAATGTGAGCATTGTCCCCAAGCATTCACGGATGAAAAAGAACTTCAGCAACACACAGAGTTATTTCAAGGACATAAGACTCATCAGTGCCCACATTGCGACCATAAGAGCACCAACTCCAGTGACCTGAAACGACACATTATTTCAGTTCACACAAAGGACTTTCCCCACAAATGTGAGGTGTGCGAAAAAGGCTTCCATCGTCCCTCTGAGCTCAAAAAGCATAGTGAAACTCACAAAGGTAAAAAGATACATCAGTGTAGGCACTGTGACTTTAAAACTTCAGATCCTTTTGTTCTTAGTGGGCATATCCTCTCAGTTCACACCAAGGACCTGCCTTTTAAATGCAAAAGGTGCAAGAGAGGATTTAGGCAGCAAAATGAACTTAAGAAGCACATGAAGACCCACAGTGGAAGAAAAGTGTATCAGTGCCAGTATTGTGAATATAGCACTACGGATGCATCAGGCTTCAAACGACATGTAATATCAATACACACAAAAGACTATCCACACAGGTGTGAATACTGCAAAAAGGGATTCCGTAGACCATCAGAAAAAAATCAACACATAATGAGGCATCACAAAGAGGCCATAATGTAATATATAATGTTGAGAAGGAAGCAATTTAAAAATGGTGATATGCTAATTGGGGAAAAAAATCTCATGAACTGTTTCTCCTGGTTTCAAAGCTTGATATTAAATCATAACTTTACATTCTTTGTATTAAAAGTCTTAAAAGTATTAAGGTTGACAGGGATCTCATAGTCCTATGATTGTTGCTTCTCAGAACCTAAAAGGCATGATAGAATGCAGAAAGATGAATGTCTGAAAGGTTGGAGAAAGATTGCTGAATGTCTTCTATTTAATAGTATTATACATTGTTACGCTACAAAAAATGAAGCTGATTGTGTTATCCATTTCATCAGTAACAGCATTTGTCTCCAGTATGAAAACCTTTCAGATGTGGGGTTATTTTTACAAACTTTTCGTCAAGGCAACCAATTCTAACTTCTTATTCCGTTTTAAAAAGAATATAAGTCAATCACTTGGTCATTATGTTTTTAAATTGTGCCTGGAAATCGTATTCCAGAATTGGTCAACTTTGGGGGCTTCTCCCATTGTTTTTTTGTTTGTTTTTTAACATTTCACTGGGAAACCTTTTTGTTTCCTTTATTAGTTTAGGTTCAGTGAGTAATTTTTAAACAAAACTTTCAAGAGCTGCTAACCTATTTTATGGCAGGATGTGATGTTAAAAATTTTGCATTATGTTACAAGCTCAGCGGTGGTGTTCTGGTGCTAGGGTTAAAACATGTATGTATATAATTTCCCTTTTTTATCTGAAACTGCAGTTGAATGTTGTTCAGTATGGCACATGACAAATACCTTTGGATCTGATTTTTTTTTTTTTAAAGGAAAAAATGAATGCAGCTATTAGTCTTGTCTTGACACTTTTTTCCTACTACTTTAAGATCTTCCCTAAAAAGAGTATTATAAAAGTCACAATAGTTTTCTTGAATAAAAATGCAAAATACTTAGAAGTTCTTTAGGTCAGTGTTTATAACAGGTATGTCTATTACAGTCCTACCTGCTAATATAAAATTTTCAACCTAGGTATAAAAGTGCACCTTTTAATCAATTCTTTACAAATCTCTACCATACTATAAACATGCATTTTCAGTCTGCAAGAAAGTATATATGCAGTATTTAACCTGAAAAATATGCTGCCACTAGAGTTTGGAGGTGGATCTTCAGTTTACAGTGTATACATTTAAAATATGCATCCCTTTAAACAATGCTTTGTGTTAGCATGCTGCAAATCAAATGGCGCTTACTATAACAAGCTGGTCTAGGGCTATTTAATGAAAAACCTGCTCATAAATGTTATGCATATAATGTGTACTTTTTTACTTTTAGTTGCTTCATGTTTGCACACAACTCTTCACATGATAAATTGTAACTTTACCTCATGCTATATTGTGGCTTTGTGTTTCAGATAATGATCATATTTTGTTTTTGCACCAGATGAGAATCAGTTCCTTGAGAATAAATTTTTTTTTATATTTCTAAACTTCAGAAAGCTAAATTGGGAAATCTCTTAGAAAAAATAAGTGTTTTATGTGGCTGTAAAAAATTATGTACACGCTGTAAAATAAGATTGTCACTGTTACGTGGGATTATTATTTCTTAATGTGTTACTCATTGTAATGAGCATACAATAAAACGCATCTCTTGCACTCCAAGGTTTTCTAGAGTCTTTGTTTTTCATTTGGGCTGATTCTAGGAATGTTCTCATTCACTGAAAGTGTGCCTAATAATTTAATTTCATCTTTCTTTTTAGCTTGTATATGCCTTTAATCATCTGGTCTATGATAAGCCAATTAACTAGCAAATGTTTTTCAAATAAGTTATCCCTTTTTATTGTTTAATTGTATTCACTGTGTAGTTTTAGCACTAGTGCTGGGTGAAATTTTTGGCAGAAATGTGTTCACTGAAAAATGCAGTCAGATCAGCCAAGACATTTAGCAAATTTGTGTTGACGGCGACAAATTGTTTTGGTCAAGTTCCATCATCCCTCCAAAAAAAAAATGTTTTGTTCTGACATTTTTTTAAATCAAACTATTTTCATTTTTTCTATTCAATTTTTTTCTAATTTTTTCAATAAGCTAGGAAACCAAAAGATCAGTTATTTGTGCAGCTCTGATTAGCGGTGAGAATGTACAAGACATTTTTACTAAAACTGTCATTAAATATGTACAGTAATTGACATACTTTTGAGTTTTCTTGTTTGGATTCTGCAAAAACAGTTTTCTGCACATTTTGGAAAAGCTACTATAGGTTTAAATTTTTCTTAAGAATAAGAACAGATAACAATATAAAATGCTAAATCTTACTTTCCTATTTGAGTTTCCTTCCTCTAACTTTATGTATTTTTTCCACCGGAAAACTATACCAGGCAAACCTGCGATTCTGATCAGGTGCTTGTCGTTGCTGGCCAGCATTATGCTCTACATTGGTCCTCTTCACCAGAAGGAGAGCACCTGTCCCCGGCAAAGAATTCACACCACGCATGCTCAGTGCTGATATAGGAGTTTCATTGCTCCTCGACCCCTCACCAGGAGCCAGAACATGCAGTGGTACTGGGAAGAGACTCTCATTCTTCCTCATCTCGGTACCAGCCCTTGGTACTGGGTTCTCAGCTTCTCCATGTTCTTTACCTTCAACATCATCCCTAATCAAATGTGAGTCTATTTGCTCCAGAGGAACCAAGTGGACCTCTAGTCACACGGTGGACTGCCAAATGCAGTGGCAGCCACAATGGCCATTCTGGACCTCCTGGGCATACTATCAGGCCCAGATTACTCTCTGCCCTCTCCCAACCCCTGTAATTTTAACAGCTAGGAGGCCACACAAAAGCTGCCAGAGGCCTCTCCGACAGACTTTGTAGCATTGGTTGAGGAAAGATGGTGGTGGTAGGAATGGCCCTCCTTGCATGTGACTGATTCAGTGGCCCAGTCCTTGTCTACAGGCATAGTCATGTGCAGGTCTCCCTCCAGAGGTGCAATGTACCAAGACTTCCCATTTGATGGCTCAATGTTCTCCAAACAAACCGACTCTCGGCTTCATAGTCTGAAAGACACCAGGGCCACTATGTGCTCCTTGGGGATGCACATACCTGTCATGCAATGTAAATCCTTCACACAGCAACAGCAGCAACTCCACCACCAGAGCGGGTTCCACTCTTACCCTCGCTAAGATTCTTATTGACATTGGGGCTGAAACAGATGTTTATCAGCTGCACAGATGCTTTCTCTAATATGTGGTAAGTCAGCACTCAATCAGTTCTTGTGTGCATGCGTCGTCGAAAGTTTTTCCCTTAGCAGTACCCGTTGGGTCAGCTTGGGAATTTGTTCTGATTCAAAACGAAGCCAAGGTTTGAAATCTTGAAATTGTTCAGAAAACAGAATTTCTATTCTCTTAGACTATCTCAGACTCTACTTTATATTTGTCCCAGAGAGTAAATTGTATCAGTGCTGGCCCTAGGTTTTCCACATGGCAATTTCATGGAAGAATAAAAATCTAATCTTCAAAAATCAATTTAATCTAATCTGGGACCACAGACATGAAAACAACCTAATCCTTTGGTTACTACATAGTATCACTAGGGACTCAGAGGGTATGTCTATACTACCCCGCTAGTTCGAACTAGCGGGGTAGTGTAGACATACCCTTGGAGTGGTGCCAGTATATCAGTTAATATATACCTCTGTTGGCCCTCCCATCCCCTCAGTTCCTTCTTACTGCTCGTGATGGTCGTTGGAATGTGCTTTTACTCTTGCTCTGCAAGTGCCTCTTAGCAGTTCTCTCCCATTGTTTAGCTAGCTAGTTTAAAGTTTCTTAGTTCATTGTTCTTATTTAAGTTGTTAATAGTTAAGTGTTGTGCTTAGTGTTGAAGTATTCAGTCATGGGGCTCACTAGGAGTCCCTGGTGCGTCTGGGAGGGCATGCCTGGGCTCCAGGGCTTCAAGCCTTGTGAGAAGTGCCAGAAGCCTATGCCCTGTGGGGAGATCCCCCCCATGGAGCCTGTCTCAAGTACCTCAGCAAAATGCACCTATTTGAGGCTTGTAACATCTGTGAAG